TTTTACTCACGAAAGCTCATGCTCAAATAAATCTGTTAGTCTTTAAGATGCCACCAGACTCCTTGTTGTTATTGTAAATCAAAAGTAACTCCACTGAATTCAGGAAGCCTGGTTTTCCACTGTGTTGGAGAAGATTCTCAGCTGGTACAAATTTGCCTCTTGAGTGTAAAACCAAACCAGATCCAAATGGTTGGGCCAATTCTGACTACACTTGCAAGTTCGAAGGTGGAGGGGAGGGAGAGTGTCAAAAGTCAGAAACAGAATCAAAGGCATCAAGGACCTGTGCTAACTAAACCGACAAAGCAAAAAGGGCCCACATGCTCCTTCCACCCAAGACGGGAACCTTTGCTTCAATTCTGCTTCCATTGCATGAGCAGACACTTTTCGAACTCTTCAAAGCCTGGGGATACTGTTAACTTTTTACATTTCAGTGCATCTCTTTCTTCAATTTTTTGGATACCATAAAAGTTTCTGTTTAATCTTCTGCCAGCCCTGGTATCTCTTGCTAGATCAGAAACCTTTGCAGAATTCCATTTTTATTTTTGTATTATTTTGACAGATAATATTGGCGTTTATTGTTAAGCCTTTTTATCATTTTACATTTTCACTGATGTACAAAATTATGGGTTTTAAGCATTTTTTTTCTATGTTTATCAATTTAAATGTGCACAGTTGTGGGAAATTAGGGACAGGACCAGGAAGTACAGGGTTCAGACAGGAATGGTTTAATGACAATATATATTGAGATTCAAAAAGTTAAAGAGTTATAACTGTTAGAACACAAATTGTCAGCATCACACGTCAAAATGTACAAAGTCAATATCCTTAAATCAAACACTAATAAATTCTCAAGCAGCATTTTTCTTACTTTGCCTATCTGTAAATGTCACCTATGGAAACATTTTTGTCGTCAGTTTATGTGGGTACGATGAAATCAACGTTTACGGATTAAAAGCTAATCCTCCCAAGCCTATCCATCAGAATGAGCTTGTCCCCTCTTCTAACCTTTCAGTAGCCTTTGAAATCCGTACAGGAGGCACTTACAGCTTTATGTTTGGGTTCCATTTTCTCCATTGTCTATGTCTACATGACAAGCTAATCAAAAAGTCTTCACATCCATATGGCCTGTGTGACTTTGCCATCTGCGAGCTGAACTGTAACCTTGAAATAGACAGCAGGGCTAGATCTCACTGAGCCAATTGAGGTGCCCAAGATAGGTAAATATTAAAGGATAATGGTGTCCTGTTTAGGACGGGAATTCAATAATTTTCTTTATCCAGGAGGCATTGGAAATAAGTTTAAGTTTTCATGACTTTACCTGACATCACTTTGAATCAGGACAGTTTAATCTGGGTGTGCATATAAGGCATATAATGAGATATGTGAATATATAATATCATTTATAATATTTATTCAGCATTTGTGTTAATGCTTATGCATAAAACCAAGAAGTTCCTTAACATAGCTAAGACACTGAATCACTGAAAATACCATATAAAGATCTTTCAGAGTCATATTTCACACTCATTCATGCTGATTTACTTTTATTTTTTTCAGTAATTTGACTCAAGTATTTGGGCCCCAGCCAGCTTTACAACAATCACAAGTGTGGATCTTATGAGGAAGTTTTTATAAGATTTTCATATACTGTCCTTGTGAAATATGAATTTTATTTTTAATGGTGAGCATGATCAACCATTGGAACAAGCAAGCAAGTGAAGTGGTGGAGTCCCCATCTCTTGTCATCGTCAGATCGAGACCGGATGCCTTTCTGGAAGCTGTGCTTTAGCCCAACACAAATTGTTGTGCTCATGAAATACCATGGCCTGTAATAGACTAGATGATCTAATAGTTCCATCGTGCCTTAAAATCTATTTAATTGGATGAGATCTACAAGGCCTTATTGGGGTTTACATAAGTTACCTGTATTTAAATTAGACGTAATGCTTAAGGCCCTGATTCAGGAAAATATCCCTATCTAGAACATGCTTCACCTACCACCCGAAATGCAGCCACTTCTGGGGTGACACAACAACTGTTTAACAATGTATAGTAACACAGCTAATTGTTCAGGGCAAGAGATGAAGAAGAAAAGTTTGAAATTGAAGGAGAAATTTAGGCAGGAACCATGAACCCATCCTCGCTGGAATTTGGCCAGAATCCTGGCAACTCTTACTACTATCATGAACTCTGATATAACAAATCTCCATTTGTAGGGCCACAATCTGCAGGTCTCAGTCAGTCCTTAGTTAGGCTAAACATTCATGGACATGAGTGGAAATTTAGCCTGACTAAGGACTGATTAAGAGCTGCAGAATTGTTTCATCGCCAAATACCTGCACCTTGCAATGGAAGCCGGATTTGGCCCTCAGTAGGTTGCACTGTGCAAATTGCAGTGTTGGTAATACTGAAATTATTCTATGGGGAGCAAAAATCCCAGCTTCCCTAGAAGAGCCTTCCACAAGGCTCTTCCAGGACTTACTCAACTCATTTCCTTACTTAACTATGTTGAAAGGGGGAACTGTATTCTCCCTCATTCCCAGCCCAGGATCTACAACATACACTTTTCAGTCCCTTGTCTGAAAATCAATCGATACAGTGAGAACTGTTTATAGTGCAGCTGTGGAATGACAATATGATAAAAGCACCACATGTCTTCTGGGTGTAACAACTCGTCTCAAACAGGCTATTGGCTGAACTTCTCTCTTAAATGTTGCCTTTCCTTCAAGGATTGGTTTAGGGGAAATTTTTGACTCGTAGAATTAATTTAGGAATAACCACATTCTTGAGATTTTATATTAAATATGAAAGCTGCTTTCATTTGAAATTAATTTATTTTGTATTTTCATAAGGTTTTCTTGAAGAAATAATATACAAATGTCAAATATTTACCTTTAGTGTCTGTCTGTGTAATGGTGCCTACATTTCAATGGTCAATCCAGAAAAGAAGCGGAAGGTGCTGTCTGAACCAAACTGTAAATAATTATTATGGAAGCTGTGTGTGTGGCTTTATAGTTAAGGTCAGGGGAGAGCTTTGCCATTGTATATATAAAACCATCATCATAAGGGATGGGTATAAGAGCCGTGAAGGTGAATGTGTATGGGGTGGGGGGGCATGGAATATCTGTTTTATACATTTGACCTTCTGCTGGTTATCAGCATTTCTATCACATCGCCCAGCATTTCTAGTGCTTAGAGATGGGCAAACTATTGTACCAATAAATTACTGGACCAATTTAACCCCTTTTTTTATTTGTGGATTTTCCAGAAATAGACTCTGCTTCTCTTTACAAATTTGTTCATGATTCAAGATTTCATCTGCAAATGCATTTCAACCAGAGGAGCTATTGGCAAACACCTCACTTCAATTTTGGCTCTTTGTGGTGCATGATTAATTTCTGCTCCTTGGATTGGATAACGTTGATAAACAGGAAAAGGGAAATCAAGTGATTTCAAGATAGCCTTACAAATGCGTAGCATGAGTACTCATGAGACTTTCACTTTCCATGAAGAAAAGAGTCACTCATATGAATGTGCACAGAAAAATAAAAAGGGTTTTGAATCCAGCCAAAGTGAATTCACAGTTTTAATTCAAATGAATATTCTCTGTATTTTCTTCTTCTATTTGCCCAGCTCTAATGTTGATACTCCAGTTAGGGTGAAAAATTACATGGTATGTAGGTTAGAGGGGAAAAGAAATACTAAAATAAATCTGCCAATGTATTTTACCTAATTTGCAAAGGAAGAAACTGAGAAGAAAATGATTGTCAGCTTGTTTCCATACACCTGTCCATATGCCGTCACACCTCCAGGTGGGTTTCGTTCATTGCTGTTGGCTCTTTATTTCCAGATATCGTATACAGCCTACAGGAAGGAAAAATATGGTCATATTGCCTGAAATAACCTGGCTTTATAAATGATTAAGGTTCCATTCCTGCAGATCATTTTATTCATCACCAGACATACGGAAATCCTCAAGTCCTCACCTAAGGCTAGATCAGCCCTTCTGCAGGTATAAAAGCTGGGAGAGATTGTAAAAAACCTCGCTCCCACGTGGAACCCCAGCACAAAGGCTAGACACATACTCAGTCCTTACGCTCCCCAAGCCCTTCCACATGAAATATAAGGGCCAAAACCAATATATGGACTAGCAGAGTGGTATTGTGGCAGAGGGAGACAACCTCCATTAAATCCGGTTGATAAGGTGGTTCTTGTTTCCACGTAAAAGAGAGTTGTAGACTAGGGATGCATGCTAAGGCCTGGCCTACATGGCAAAGTTATATCGGGATAGCTATGTAGGTGAGGGGTGTAAAAACCACACCCCTGACTCATGGGTGGTGAGTATCAAAGGCAGGGGAAGGTTCAGCCTATCCAAACTGTCTGTGTGGCCCCACTCACACTCCACCCCCAGACTCCCTCCTGCTTCCCACCACCAGAACTGGGCAGGGCCAGGGGGCTATAGCCCTCCCACTTTTTGAAAGTGGATGGACCTGGCCCGTCCAATTTTTGCCAGAGCAGACCCCACCCTCTTTCTCTCCTCTCCGAGGCCCCACTCCCAGGCCATGACAGCATGGAGCCCGGGCAGCTGTGGGGAGCCGCGGCGGACCCTCCACCTGCCTGGAGTGCGGGAGGTGGGGGCTGAGAGCAGCCCCCGACCCGTGTCCCCACCCCCTGGGCTCCCCGGACGCCTGGGGCAAGAGGAGGGTCCGCAGCTCCATGCTGGCTCCCCACAGCTGCCTGCGTGGCTCTCCCTGGCCCAGCTCTGGCCGGACACGGGGGCCTCAGAGCTGCAGCCCGGCCACAGTAAGAGCCACGCAGGCAGCTGTAAGGAGTCGCAGACTCTCCATCTGCCCCGGGCGGGCAGGGAGTGGGGATGTGGACCGGGGACTGCTCAGGCCCCCCGCACCATGGGCAAGTAGAGGGTCTGCCGCCATGGCTCCCCACAGCTGCCCGCCCAGCTCTAATCATGGCCGGACTGCGGCTCCAAGGCCCCTCCACCTGAGCCTGGGTCCCTCCACCTATCCTGGGAGGGGGCCTGGGACACAGGCAGGAGGCTGCCTTTGCCGCCACCTCAGGCAGGGGCCCCACCCCACCTCCCATTTTTGGCAGGGCTCCGGTGCCCTTGCTGTGGGCTGGTGCTAATTGGGGCCGGCCTGCACATTGGGATATTTAAACCTAGGCTGGACAATACGTAGGAAAATGCACTATAGGGGGCCGTTCCCTAATTGGTAAGGGAATGGATGATGAAAAGGATCTGGTCTGTAATTTCTATCATTCTGTGAAAAATTCCATTTTGTACTTCTACACCAGAGGATGCTGTTGGAATCTGAAATGCTGATGCTTAAATCTCCCAGCATTGCTGGGCCCTCAACACCATTCTCCACAGGCTTGGTGGTGAACAACAAACTGATATTTTTTGTCACTAAGGAAAATAAAATGCATAGATGGTGCCAACACTTTAGCATCCCATACAACTAAGAGGCCAGATTCTGCCTAGGATACACCCAATGCATCCCCATGGACACGGCAGGCTTGTAAGGGCTGGTTTTGCCTCAATTATTATCATTAAAGCAAATAGCTTTGAAAGATTATTTTTTTAATTAGGCACTTCTGTGAATAAGAAAAACACCTGCATTTAGGGATAGATCCTGGAAGGTGCTGAGGACACACAGCTCCCACTGACTTCACTGGGAATTGAGGGCATTCAGTACCTTTCAGGGTTGAGTGCTTATATTAGGTAGGATGGTAAGAGTATGTGACTGATTCAAAGCTCATTGAAGTGAAAGGGAATCTTTCCATTCATTTCTGTTTTTTGAATCAGGACCTACACAAACTACTTCTGTGCTTCAGATGACAAGCTGATCACCAGTTACAGCCAAGAAGAAATTGTCCCTCATTTTATACTACAGATGTGGTACAGCTAAGTGTATTAGTAGGGGAGGGGTGAAACCTTCCTATACCGTATCCAGCACTGGCCTAGGTAAAAAAATAAGAAACTAGGCCAGGTGGACCATTCCTGTATTCCAGGATTGCAGTGCTTATGCTGTGTAAAGATTTTGGAATAAGGAAATGAGTATCGAGAAATCAAAATATTTTCAGGCTGCCCACTTTTTTCCAAAATTTACCTGGATTTCTTCAAAGAGCTCTTCTTCTGCAATGAGCGGCAACAGGAAAATTTACAATCAATGACCTGGTAAATAATTGGGTTGTACATAGCTGCCGATTTTGCAAGCAAGGTTGGGATGACTGAAACTTGAATGGGCACTGAGTCTGGCTGTCCAAAAGCTGACCACACTGATACCACGGCATATGGGATCCAGGCAATTAGAAATCCTGCACAGATCAACATTGCCACCTTGTGAGAATAAAAAGAAAGGAGAGAAAACAGTTACCTAAGCGAATGGTCTTTATTGATGCACCGCACTGCACAGTACTCGTATTTCCCAGCGTTGCAGACAATGTGTGGGTGCATGCAACAGAATGGAAAAATGACCCCCGCATCAGATAAGGTCTGCAATATGAACCAATGCTGTAATTTATTTCACTTTTCCTTATCTATCTCCAGCTGTACTTTTGCTTGACATATATAGAACAAATAGGGATTCTGTTGGCCCAAGTCTTTCCTTGAGCTCATTAGGCCAGACTAAAAGTGAAGAAATTGAACAAAAAGTCAGTGAATTATGATTCTTTGAAGTTAAATTAAATGAGTATTTACTACATATATATAAATAGAGAGAGAACAAAGAGGGGGTGATATGTAGAAAAGGATATTTATATATATCCTTTATAAAACAAAAGTCACCTTGTTCTTGGGAATTTAACACCAAGAGAAATGATTTGAAATGCCAAAGTCCTGGATAACATTCAAGTGATCTGGGATCATTTAAAAATTTGTGCTGCTTAAGCCACAGGTTTGGCGCTTATCTGAAATACTTTTTACTTCTACAGCCTCTTCCCCCAACTGCTTTCCAGATACACATTCACTGAGCCTCACAACACCCCGGAGAAGCTGGAAGTATTGTTTTGTCTTTATTTCATAAATGGGAAACCGAGGTCCAGGGAGACTGAGCCCCAACATTTCAAAGGGGGGTGTCTAAGGCTTGAAGTCAGTGGGAGCTGGCTAGTGCTCAGCACCTGTCACTATCAAGCTACTTATTGAAAGTCCTAAAGAGGGATTTAGGTGCCCAACTCTGTACGCCCATGTCTGAAAATTTTGGCCTCAGTGATTTGCCAAATCAGCAAAGGAGCCAAATGAGCAAACCAGTGGCGAAGACATGAACAGAATCCTGGTCTCCTAGAGCTCAGCCTTACGGTGAAAGCTCAAGGCCATTCTTCCGACCACTCATTTGAACCCCTTTGCAATCACACTACAAACCTTGTAAGACCAAGGTCTCCAGAGAGATTTCCAGGGCTGGGCTGAAGATATTTCTTGTTAACGTTTCAGAAAGAAAACCAGGTTGCTATCCAAGTGTTGGGTGTATGGGAGGAGCTATAGCTCTCTCCTCTCTCCGTCCCCCATTGCCAGTCAGTGCAGTGAGGACAAAGGACTAGGGAGAGGAAAACAGACTGCAGCAGCCGGAGTCAACACAAGGATTCTTCCTCCCTTGCAGGCAGTGCTGATGTTGTGTGACGGCATCACCAGCACCCTGGGAGCAGCTGGCAATAGGTCATGGTGGATGGCTGGTTGTAATAGGAGGGTTAGAGTCCTAAGTCGGCCTCATCTCCTCCCTGTGCCCCGGATGGCATCCAGAGAACAAGAGGCTTCTAAGGCAGCTAATAAGAACCCTTCCCATCTTCCACTGAGAAAATGCAGACAATATGATTACTTTGGAGGGTGAACAGGTGAGAAACTGAATGTGCATTTGTCACTTGCAAAACACATGCATTGACAGACCTATAGGGATAGCCATAACTGTTGTATTTCACTGGTCCATTCCAAAATGACACTGCTGAGAATTTAACACTTCTATTGTTTTGGGTTTTTTTTAAACCAGCTCATAGCAGGGATCTCATTCTCTGTTAAATTCTGACGTTTTGTGAATAATTTCTATAGAATCCTATTTAATTTCTGCAGAACCTCATTGGTTACATTCCTATTAAATCGTAAACGTTTTTCATAGGAGGTCAGGAAAAGAAGATCTACATACAGTTTGTTCAAAAGTGAAAAAATACTCTAACTGAGCTAAAGTTTTGAGTCATTTATTTTACCTGAACAAGCGTGTCCATACCTATATGTAATATGATACAGGTTCCATATTGCATCACATGATATTGTATTTTGAAGTTCATGTTTGACAGCACTACCATAATTCATACGGTATTGCACAGCATCCTAATAGATAATAGTACATGAATAGTCATTTGGGAGAAGTAATTAGAAGGATTACAATACAAATCTTCAGTGAATGCTCTGTTCTCGAGCCAGCTAAAGCCTTTCAGATATTGTGTTATTCTCAACCTCTGTTCCATGTGTTGATATGCTTAGTGGATGTGGTTTCAATATTCTTGAAGAAGTAAATTACATAAAGATTTTAAACCTTCCCCCCCACCCTTTTTTTTTTTTTGCCATCTAACATTCACGAGCCAAAAAGGGAAACTCAAATTCAACCCCCTTTTGAAATTTTGAAGATGGATGATGGGATTCCACTTCCCAGACCCAAACCTGCCCCAACATTTTGGGTTCCAGATAGGATCTGGAACTGGATGGGACATAGTTTCCAGTGTACAGATCCACATGAATGTCTGCTTCCTTGGAGGTTTTTAAGGCCCGGCTTGACAAAGCCCTGGCTGGGATGATTTAGTTGGGAATTGGTCCTGCTTTGAGCAGGGGATTGGACTAGATGACCTCCTGAGGTCCCTTCCAACCCTGATATTCTATGATTCTATGATTCTTCCAGATGGCAGATATCTCATAACAACAGCTGATTTCATATTTCTGTAATACTGGATCTAAATCTTCCAGATTTAGAATCAAGATCTTTGCACAGAAGGTTCTATAGAAGTGCAAATTATGATTGTAAAAGCAGCACTGCAGGTACACTGTATCTCTGTAAATAAGGCCACCAGAATTTGGGGTTCTTTCTACTATCAAGGCAGCAGCAGCTAACTAACCAAAACTATTCCCATGGCTGTGTTAGCTTGACTGTTTATGCTGCAGGTGGTCTGAATTCCCAATGATGTTTTGGCTTTGTATACTATGTAGACACATGTTTATCAGAAGGAATTTTAAAAATATATTAGGAACAAAAAAAATCTTGACAATAGTATTGGCCCGTGACTAGATGGAAATGGTAGAATTATCAATAGTAATGCAAAAAAGGCAGAAGTGTTCAATAAGTATTTCTATTTTGTATTTGAGGGGAAAGAGATGATATAGTCTCATCATAGGGTGATGATAATACTCTTTCCAGTCCACTAGTATCTCTGGAGGATGTTAAACAGAAGCTACGAAAGTTAGACATTTTTAAATCAGCAGGTCCAGATAACCGCATCCAATAGTTTTAAAATAGCTGACTGAGGAGTTCGCTGTACTGTTAATGTTGATTTACAGTAAGTCTTGGAGCATTAGGGAAGTTCCAGAAGACTGGAAGAAAGCTAACGTAAATGGAATGACTCGGGAAATTATAGGCCTGTCAGCCTAACATCAGTCCAGGGCAAGATAATGGAGTGACTGGTATGGGACTCAATTAATAAAGAATTAAAGGAGGGTAATGTAATTAATGTAAATCAGCATGGGTTTGTGGGAAACAGATCCTGTCAAACTAACTTTATATCTTTTTTTTTATGAGATTAAAAGTTTGGTTGATAAAGGTAATGTTGACATAACATACTTAGACTTCTGTATGGCATTTGACTTGGTACACACATTTTAATTGGAAAACTAGAAAGTTATAAAATTAACGTGGAACACATTAAATGAATTTAAAACTGGCTAACTAATAGATCTGAAAATGTAATTGTGTAAATGGGGAATGATCATCAAGTGAATGTGTTTCTAGTGGGGTCCGCAGGGACCTACGCTATTTAACATTTTAATCAACGACCTAGAAGAAAACATAAAATCATCATTGATAAAGTTTCAGATGAAACAAAAATTGGTGGAGTGGTAAATAATAAAGATGAGAGTTCACTGATTGAGAGCAATCTGGATCTCTTGGTAAACTGGACACAAGCAAACAATATGTATTTTAATACAGCTAAATGTAAATGTATATATGTAGGAACAAAGAACGTAGGCCATACATACAGGATATGGGACTCTATCCTGGGAAGCAGTGACTCTGAAAAAGATGTGAGGATCGTGGTGGATAATCAGCTGAACATGAATAGAGCCCTGCGCAGATACAAAATTTGTATCCACATCGAATCCGCGATCCAAAAAATGATCCACGGGTATTGGCAGATATAAAGCAGATATCCGCAGATTTGCAGGGCTTTCGATATAAAATTTGGATCCGCATCCATCCACGATCCACAAAAATGGTCCACGGATATCCACATCTGCATCCAGGGATGCGGATCTCTGTGGATATAAAGCGGATATCAGTGGATTTGCTGGGCTCTAAACATGAGCTTCCTGTGTGTCGTTGTGGCCAAAAGAGCTAGTGCAAGTCTGTAATGCATAAACAGGGGAATCTTGAGTATGAGTAGATATGTTATTTTACCTCTATATTTGGCACTGGTGCAACTGTGAGTGGAATACTGTGTCCAGTTCTGGTGTAAGGATGTTAATAAACTGGAGAGGATTCAGAGAAGAGCTGCATGAATGATTAAGGGAAAACAAGCCTTATAGTGATAGATTCAAGGAGCTCAAACTATTTAGCTTAACAAAAAGGTTAAGGGGTGACTTGATTATAATCTATAAGTATCTACATTGGGAACAAATATTTAATAATGAACTCTTCAGCCTAGCAGAGAAAGATGTAACCCAATCCAAAGTCTGAAAGTTGAGCTAGATACATTCAGCTGGCAATAAGGCGTGCGTTTTTAACGGTGAAGGTAATTAATCCCTGGAACAATTTGCCAAGGGTCGCGGTGGATTCTCCATCGCTGACCATTTTTAAATCAAGACAGGATGTTGTTCTAAAAGAGCTGCTCTAGGAATTATTTTGGGGAAGTTCTTTGGCCAGAAGGTCAGACTAGGTGATTATAATGGCCCCTTCTTGCCTTAGACTCTGTGAATCTATAAATCTATTATATGCATTGCAACCACTTGTTAATTTCAGTTCATTTCCAAACACGGAAAGAAAATAAATATGTAACTACTAGTCAGTGTGTTACAAGTCCCGTCCCTCCCCCCATATCCGAGCCACAGAAGATGTGATTCTATTTCTGGAAGCTTTGGCTCTTTGTCTCAGGCTCTAGAGACTGATGCTTTTAACGCTGGAGGTTCCCAGTTAAATCCTCCAGTGTCAGCCAAGCTCATGGCTGACATGTTTGCCAAACAGAAAAAGGGCACAGTCGGATGGGGAACACACTACTATATTCCTAAGGTTCTTGGAGGGTTTCTTAAAAAAAGAACTGCAAAAATGAGGCCGGGGTAACCAAAAATTGTGACAACAGAGGCCATCTTGGCATTTTGTCTGGACCTTAATTTTTATAAAAAATTCATTGTGAATCTTAAAGAAATTCACATGATCACCACATTTTCTTGTACGTGTATCTTCTTTGATAGAAGAATACAAATTTTCCATAGTTTTATTTCACCAGTAATAAAACCGCGCTTTTCATCTATCTATTTTATGGCCCTCTTTACAGTGATACCTGAGTGCCTCACAAACATTTTTAAATTTATCTTCATGACCACACCTGTGAGGTAGGGAAGTATTATTATCCCCATTTTACGGATGGGGAAACTGAGGCACAGAACAATCAAATGATTGGTCCAAGGTTACACAGCTTCAGACTGGACCCATCTCCAGGGTCTCATTTTAAGTGCCTTAATCACAACTCCATCCTCCCCTTCCTTCAGCTGTGCCTTGCAGATACAGGGAGAGTAAGGGCTGCAACTAACATCGCAGGCCACCACAATCTTGTGCTTGTGACACATTAGAGCTTCACAAATATTCAGTACCAATGATAGGATCTATGGTTCTTCTCACCTGGTTTTATGGTCTGACAGTTTTCTCCTACCTACCTTGGTCAATTTAATTTCCAGGACATGATTGTTTTGAATCCTGGTGTCATAATGAGCAACTTCTTTGGCGGACGACTTGACTTTTGCAATGATTTTAACATAGGAAAACACAATCACTGCAGTTGGGAGCAAGAGGCAGAAGAAGAGAATATTCAGAATAAATGCCTGTCCAGCCACTGAAGTCTGAGCCAGCCACCAATCCAGAGTGCACGAGGTTCCAAATGGCTCGGGAGCATAGTTCCCCAAACCAGCAAATGGCACAGTAGCCCAGAACGTAGCGTAGGCCCAGATTATTGCCAGGCAGATAAAGGCATGATGTCTCTTAAGCCAGGTACCTGGAAGATAATTCAACAATTATAATGGCAGATGATATATATTTGGCTAAAGACAACTTGAAATTCTACACCTGCAATTAAGAGCTAGTCAGACCATTTACTGCAAACCATTTCTTTGCTGCATTTGTCACTGTATTATTGTTGTGAACCTCTTTTAGTTTAACTGAGAAAGGTATAGAAAGATGCAATGGCTGGAAGTTGAAACTAGACAAATTCAGACTGGAAATAAGATGTGCAGTTTTTTTTCCAGAGAGTTTAGCTAACCATTGGAACAATGTACTTAGGGATGTAATGGATTCTACAACACTTGGGGTATGTCTACACTCCATCTGGGGGCATGCCTCCCAAGTAGACAGACTCATGCTAGCCTATGCAGAGCGTGGATGTTGCAGCATGACAACAGTGGCTTGGGCTAGCCTCCTGGGCTCGGACCCAGGGGGTTGGGCAGGATTGGATATAGGCAGCTAGACCAAGCCACCACGTGTAGCAACATCCATGCTGCTATTTTTAACATGCTAGCTCATGCAGAGCTAGTGCAAATTTGTCTGCCGGGCTGAGAGGGCACACGGCCAGATGCAGTGAAGACATACCCCTGAAGTTTTTAAATCAAGACTGGTTGTATTCCTAAAAGATATGTTCTAGCTCAACCAGAAGTTATAGGCTTGATGGAGAAACTACTTGGTGAAATTCTATGGCACATGGTATACAGGCGTCAAAGCAGATGATTATAATGGTCCTTTTTTACCTTAAAATCTATGTTTCTCGGTTACTACTCTCAGTACCATGGATTATTACAACTGAAATAATTATAAAAATCTAAATTTACTAATTTACTCATTACTGTTCATATTATTTCTTTATTTCTCTTATTATAATATTTACTTGGACTATGAAAATAGATTAATCAAAGTAGTCAGTTTTGTTCCTAATCCTGTTCACCTTCTTGGTGAACACCTTCAGTGCTGCAGTGTTTGGGTTGCAAACACTGCAAAAAATTGTTTCATAAATGAAATTTTTAAAAGTGCGTGAAAGCATTTCCATTGAAACTAGATTTTGTAAACTGAATTACTGTTTGGGCCTAACCTGACCTCTAGGGATTTTCCCACTGCTCTGAGGGTTAGGTAGGGTGACCATACATCCTTTTTTAGCCAGTTCTGTCCCTTTTTTAAGCCCTGTCCTGGCCATCCCGACTTTGTTGGCAAAAGTGGGCATTTGTCCCATTTGCTCTTACTGACTTGATCAGTTGGCAAGAGTAAACAGGACAAATGCCCACTTTTTCAAAAAAGTGGGGTGTGATGCAGAGGAATGGTTGGGGTGGAGCAGTAATGCCAGTCATGCAGCGGGGGGCAGGGCTTGGACAAGGGGCAGGCAGGCAGGGCTCAGGCCAGACCCACGGGAAGGGCCGGGACGGCTTGGGCCAGCCCTGCACAATGTCCTGCTTTCCTTTTGGGAAATATGGTCACCCTAGGAATAGGGAACATGATTCTTATACATTTCAGCTTAATGCTTCTATACAAGTCTCCAGTGAGGATGGGGAAAGAAAATGGCTATATAGTGTCACTCAATGCAAATTTCCTTCTTACCGTAAGTTAAATGACAAATTTTCAGGTATCTATCCAGGCTGACAGCTGTCATGGTGATAAGGCTCCCACAGCCAAAGAAGAAGCCAGCCCATCCATACCAACGGCAGCCCAGCCAGCCAAACACCCATCGGTGAGAGAAGAAGGAAATTATACTAAATGGTTTTCCTACAACTACAAAGAGGGGAAACAATGGGTCATTGGAAAAGTTGATGCTGTCAAAATAATCTTTAAAAAAACAACAACTATCTTTACTCAAAATACAGGACACTGAGGGGAGATCAGTGATAATATAGGCATCTTCAAACATAGGGTAGAGTGAGGTAATTGCCTTTTGCCCAGGAGTAAAATCAAACTTGTCAAATTTGCAAATATTTTCTGGTTGATTAAAATTGTATTTTTCAGTAAATAAACTATTCATCCGAACAATTTTGCCCTGTGCTAGTCACAGCATTACATAAGCAGAAAAAGGCTGAACTAATCAAATTAATTATTTGTTGCAAAGTATTTACTCCATGTTAATTATAGGCCTTTTACACAAAAGCATAGGGAGATTGATTTGGTCAAGGATCATACTCTATGTCTGGGAACAGGGACTAGAACTGGGAATAGAACCCAGAAGTCCTGATCGTAAAATGCTTGCTCTAATCACAATTCTAAACATATTGTGAGTTGCACACTACAAGCATGCATTATCCAGTAGATGGCATCAGAAATGAATGCATGTTTGCAAATGTCACCAACAAGCTGATATTTCACTATTAAATGAGTTGGATTCACAGGGCATAATTGATGTATGAGACTGGAGTTGTTTCTTGCCTATCTGGAATTTGTTTGCTGCATTTCTAAGTGCTACAGATGGAAAACAGCTAATGAATCATTCTAAGGGGTTTATCTTGACACTAGAGCAGACATTTTTATGCTAACACTCTTAGAAACAAGCAAATCCCACAGCAGAGACTTATTTGTATATCCACAGGCTGATCACTCAGCCAGAAAACATCAGCTTTCACAGATCCTCAGACCCAGTCATGCCATTTCCTGGAATGACAATGACTTTTCTCTAAGGGTATGTCCAGACTACCCGCCGTATCGGCGGGTAGTGATTGATTTATCGGGGATCGATATATCGCATCTCGTTAAGATGCGATATATCGATCCCCGAATGCGCTCCCCGTCGACTCCGGAACTCCACCGGAGCAAGCGGCGGTAGCAGAGTCGACAGGGGAGCCGCGGCCGTTGATCCTGCACCGTGAGGACGGGAGGTAAGTCGGAATAAGATATGTCGACTTCAGCTACGGTATTCCCGTAGCTGAAGTTGCGTATCTTACATTGACACCCCCCCTAGTGTAGACCAGACCTAAGGTGTATTAACAAATGAGATATAACAGTACTGGGATCTAACGAAGTTTGGAGCCGCCTGTTCCTTTAAGCTATCATTTGTACCACACTGATGACACCCTGTGGTCAGTTGGGTGAATATCAGGTGTGGATTTCAGGTGGATTTCCTCAGGCTCCTGCAGTCCAAGCCATTTTTTTCAAAAGGGGTGTACAGTTCTTCTCCCCAGGTGTGTATACCTCTCATGAGTGTAATGAGAATTGCACAAGCATCAGATTAAAAAAATAAAGTATCACCAAGAGCTAGGCACCTCCACAGTGCTGCACAGTCTTCCAAAGGGTGTCTATTCTCACCACTAAACATATTCAGATTGAGAGTTGGGCATATGGGTCTTTCCCTGGGTTGCGTCTTCTTTACAAATTGACATGGACAGTAGAGCATGGCTTTTTACAGGAAGGAAAAGAGGCGGTGTCCCAGTCTTAAAAGGGTAACTAGGTAGAAAATTATTAGATTTGAACATCTCAAAGCCCTCGACATTCCTCACCCCTCATTCTATGGGGTTTGTTCGGTATGTGCTTATATCCCTGATATATATAACATTTGGTAGAACTGAAATATAGTGTTCTTCAGCTGTTATGAAGGCTGTTTTGTATTGATCATGCCAAATCGTACAATGTGAACTTCTGAGATTTGAACCTGCATGGGCCCTTTGCCTGATTCAAGATCTCTGGAATAGGTCATATTTCTCTTCATTTTCATTCTCTTTCCAGGGGATTTGCACCTCCCTACAATTGCTCTGTTATACTCTTTCCGATCTTTTTTTTTTTTAAATGTGGAAACAATGGAATAGAAACAGTATGGGCTGAGTTCTGTTATCACAAGCACACCCTGGGCTCCTACTGTCATATAGGGGGGGTCCCATCTGCACAACGCAGAGTAGAATTTGGCCAAAAAGAAATAAAAATAAAAAGGCAGGAAAAGTAAAAGAAGAAATAAAACACTGAATTACCTGAAATCCCCAAGTCACACACGGCTAAATTGACAGTCATTATCTCCGCGGGTCTGAGCTTCTTTTTCCGTTTCAGGGACATAAAAAGAACATAGCCATTCCCAAAAGTTGAAAGAACCCCTGTAATAAAAATATAAAAACAAACTGCACTTAAACAAAATTGCAGAGAAACGCTTCCCCACAATTCTTTGGCACAACAGTGTGCATTGGCCTGCTAAACCCAGGGTTGTGAGTTCAATCCTTGAGGGGGCCACTTGGGGATCTGGGGCAAAAATCAGTACTTGATCCTGCTAGTGAAGGCAGGGGGCTCGACTCGATGACCTTTCAAGGTCCCTTCCAGTTTTAGGAGATGGGATATCTCCATTTTATTTTCATTCTGAGCTTCACAGTTCCAGAGAGAGAGGTCAACAAACTAGAAGGAATTTGGAGAAGAGTAACAAAAATGCGTACTATCCAGGTGGGTGGGATTAGGGAACAATCACATGGAAGGCTGTAAATCAAAGAAACTGAAGAACTATGTGTGATAGTGCACTAAGAGTGACAGGTTGGAATTAGGTAAGGGAGAATTTAGATGCAACATCCACAAAAAGTGTTCTAACTGTGAGATAATAAGCTATGGAATAGTGAGGTGTCACATCATTTAAATCTTGACAGAACAAAGTCCTGGAGATTGTAGTGCACTCAATCCAATCCCATTCTGGGAACTGCTGTGGTGGAAGGAAAAGTCATCCTCTGGGGGAGTGCAGGCGATATTTGAACTGCTTGTCTCCACTGCGAGTGATCTAAGGAAAAAAGCAGCTTTGATTTATAGCCAAGGCACTATAAGGAAGTTATAAAAGACAAAAAGTGATCAAACCAGAGGCTGCTGACTGCTACGTCACTGCCACCAATCCCATTCAGCCAGCCAAACATAGGCTAGATATAAGTGGATGCCGCTCTTGTCTTGTTTTAAATTCCCAACGAGGACAAATTCAGCATGAAATGTGCCAAACAGTGGTGTACAGTAGATGTCCCATATAAACTTGTTAGAAATTAATGTGAGTGCAAAAATGGTGTAACTGGCTTTATTTATTTATTTTTAATCTTGTCCCTCTGCAACTCACCACACCCCACCCCTCTTCTGAATCATAGCATCTGTCCTCCTCCCATCCCCCTACTGACTCCATTTCCCTTTCCTGGTTACCTAGACCCTCTACAGTTCCCACTAGAGAAAAACCAGTGTACCTCCCACCAAAGGAGAAAAGCAACGTCATGGACCATGGTAGCAACTAATAAGAGGATGTAACAAGGCATCTCAGTAAGCAATTTGAAACAACTTCAGTGGTGTAAAACTATACACGGTTTAATCCCAACCCCCCCGCCCCAGGGATAAATCCACATTGACTTAACAGGCAGTTTAAACACATTTTCCCCCCGTACACAATCATCCACAGCAGTAGACCTTCCTGCTCCACTTTTAGACCTCATTTTCTATTTCCACAGAGGATTTTGTTCCAAAACATGTGCGCACTGCTTCAGCTTTGGGTTTCCTTTTTCCATTTTTATTTGAACATAAAGATTCATTTCTGACATTCATAAAAAATACATAACAAGGAGCTTGATCATTATCCTATTTAAATCAATAAGATCTGGGCTGTGAACTCAACTAGAGTATATGAAGCCAATACTAGTAAGTCCAGGAGCATTAAAAATCATGTTAATTCATTTTTATATTGAGTTGAGCAGCTGAAGGGAGGTAAAACGTAAAGATTGTGGTCAAAATTAAAGTGACCACAATCAACTGCTTAAAATTATTGAAAAAATGTAGTGAACATTAAAGCATAAATAAATGTAGCAATTTAGAATACAGTTGTTCTAGCTGCAGCTCTGTTCCCTTTCTGGTTTCTCGATGTACATGTCCACATGGTTGGGTCTTGTGCTCTTACCTGCCTCAGGGTAGAATCACACGATTCCTCCACTCTCAGACTATGACCTGGGCTACAGTACGATGTGTATTAACTGTTCTTACCCTGCAGGTCCGACTGAATTCTGGCACCTGCGATTCTTCCCTTCAGGAGCCAGTGACCAGTGGTATATGGTGACCAATCAGCCTTTTTAAACAAAAGTATTGTTTATTTAGCAGTAGGATCAAAGCATAAGAGAAAAAGGATTTTAAAACAACAGTCTACATGCGTGTCTCTCTTACCTAAAGCCGTCCCATCCCATAATGAAGACCTAGAGCTTGTCTATACAGTGAGGTAATGCGCACTACGGGGGTGTGATTTCTAAAGTGCCCTAACTGGTCCAAGTGGACCCTGTAGGTATACTTTAACATCATGCTGTTTTTCTATGTTAAAGCACACTAGGGAAATTTTAGTGTACAACAGCAGAGTCTGCATGGACCAATTAATGCACAACACATTAGTACACTTTAGAAACCAGAACCCCCATACAGCTCATTATCCTGCTATGTAGACAAGCCCCTAGCCTAACTTCTCCATACAACACCAGTAGGCTCCTGTACCTGTGTCTGAGTCTGGTCCCACCTCCACCCCCTCCCACCCCCTTTGTCCCTGATCGACTGCCCTTCTTTAACCCCCCTCTGCCCAAGTCCTTTGCTCCCCTGCGTTTGGCAGGCCTTGGTCATTCCTCATTAAACCAGTTGAAGGCTGGTCAGAGACAGAGAGAGTCATCAAAGCTAATAGTTCTGCCATCATCCCTTAACAACTCATAAGTGTTTGCTGATAGGAGGCTATCTTGAGCCATTCTTCTCCTTCCTGCCTGCATCCAGAAAAAAACCTTATTAACTTTAATCAATATAGTCATACACTAAATAACATCCCAATAACCAGGCTGTAAGGATCTGTGGACTACACCCGAGGTGTTCAGAGCATGGGCTAGCTGATGGTCCCACAATGCCACCAGGAAGTAATGAAGTGCTGTAGCCGGGGAGCACTGTGGAGAGTAAGCGCTACAGGAAGTACCGCCCAAAGGACCCAGAGTAATGGTACTCTGCAGCGTGCTGATTGGCCAAGTGCCCTATTTCACCCTGGAGGGTGGCCCAGGAAGTTGCCTGGGCAACGATATGGTTTTCAGGCTTGCTGGGACCCCAGATCTACCTCTGATCTCTGGTCTCCAGTTCTGACCTGAATCTGATTCCAGCCTGGTACTGTCTCTGATCCCAGCCTGACTATGACCCTGACTTTTCTAGTGATTCCTCCAAACCCTGCTCACCGACTACTGCTCCAATGTGTGGACCCCAGTCCAGCTGCGATCTCTAAGCCAGACTGCCTATGCCCTGGTCCCTTATACAGGCCAACATATATTACTCATAAATTATCACAGAGCAGCTCCAAATCCATCACAATCACCTAGGAAAGAAAGAGAGGAATGGAAAAGACCCTAGCTAGAGCTGTGTGAATAACTGATTTTGGGAGGTGGGAGGGGTTCCTCTGCCCATACAGAAAAAATAATAATTTTGGGTTGACCCTAAACAAAATTTCTGGTGAACCCCCAAAATTCTCTCTCTCTCTCTCTCTCTCTCACACACACACACACACACACCCTTTTGTTAAAAATAAAATTGAAATAAATTTCAAAATGAAAAGTCAAAATGTTTCAGTTTCAAAATCTTCAATTAAATATTTCAACTTTTTTTGGAACACTTGGTTGGTTTGTTTTTCCAACAAAATTCACTCAATTTGACACTGTCACAGGGTAACTGGTGAGCCCAATTCAGACAATGGGTCTGGGATACATCTGGGACTATAAAAGGCCGTCAGAGGACAGGAAGTGAGAGGTGGAAGAGTGATGGGGACAGGAAAGGATGCCACACCAGAGTGGAGCTAACACCTGTGGTGGTTCCCTGGAGCAAGGGGACAGATGTTCAGGGAAGCAGCTCTGGGTCGACCGCTCCAGGAAGGGAGCATAGCTGACTAGACCTGGGAAGCTGTCAGGAGCAGAAGCCCCAGAGAATCCTGGGAGGGGTGGCACTGAAGCTAGGGTTGCCAGGCATCCGTTTTTTAACCGGAACACCCAGTTGAAAAAGGATCCTGGCAGCTCTGATCAGAACGGCTGACCGGGCCATTAAAAGTCCAGTTGGTGTGGGACTGGCAGGCTCCCTACCCGGCTCTGTGCATCTCCCAGGAAGTGGCTGGCATGTCCCTCTGGCTCCTAGGCAGAGGGGTGACCTTGGGGCTCCGCGCACTGCCTCCACCCTGAGCACTGGCTCCGCAGCTCCCATTGGCCAATGGGAGCTGTGGGGGCATCGCCTGCAGGCAGGGGCAGTGCGCCCTGGCCACCTCTCCACCTAGGAGCCGGAGGGACATGCTTTCTGGGAGCCACCTGAAGTAAGTGCTGCCAAGAGCCTTCACCCCTCACCCCCCCCCGCACCCGAACCCACTGCCCCAGCCCTGAGCCCCCTCCTGCAACTCAAATTACTCATCTCCAGCCCCATCCCAGAGCCCACACCCCCAGATGGAGCCCTCATCCCCTCCCACACCCCAACCCCCTGTTCCTGCCCGGTGAAAATGAGCAAGTGAGTGAAGGTGTGGGAGAGCGAGCGACGGACGGAGGGATGGAGTGAGCGGGGGCGGGGCCTTAGAGAAAAGGCAGGGCGGGGCATGGCCTTGGTGAAGGGGTGGGGCAAGGGTGTTCGGATTTCCATGATTAGAAAGTTGGCAACCCTATCTGAAGCCTCTGAGAGCAGTGCTGGAATCAATGAGAAATGAGTATTTTTTGTACTGTCTGACATTTCTGTTAAGGTTACAGTTGGGTGAAAAATTTCAGATTAAACTTTTTTCAATGGGAATGGGAATGGGAAATTCCAACGATTGAAGCATTGAAATCTGTTTTAGCTCATTGTGGTTAACTCTAGGGTTAAAACACCAACAAACAGAACTTAAAACACATCAGTTCTTATCTTCACTGTGTGTTTACATTTACATTTTACTAGTAAACATACCTTCCAGATTAGAGCTTGGCAACATTTTTCAGACAAATGGTTTAGTCACCAAAAAAAATGCACTTTCAGTCGACCCGAAACTGTTCATGAAATGGACACAAGTTCACGGAATAATTTAGACTAAAATGAAGTTCTCAGGTTAGCGAAGTCCCAGGCATGTAATTGAATCCCTCGTAAT